ACCAGGCACTCCTTCAAAGGAAGAAAGGGCAATCTACTTCCACAGTGATATCTCCTTGGAAACCCAAGGAGGGGGCATACTGAAGGATATATCCTATGAGAAACCTGAACATTAAAACCGAAGTACATGATTCATAAAGTGTATAAATGCTTTTAAAAATGCAGGCAATTCTCTCATTCACATTTTGGAGAGTTAACACCGAGTTCAACAGATATATACTTACTCAAAAGCAACATATGTCAGGAGAGTTGCTGCTGAACAAATAGCAGATATTCCACATCCAATATAGGTTATGAAGGTGAGGACTTTAGTATTTCTCGTTTCTATCTGTGAGGCAGTTCCCTGAAGGTCCTACACACAAAAAATAGAAGTAGCTATGAGAATCTCTCTTTGAATGAGAATGGCTTTGGTTTTATTAGAATGGGTACTGCTAATTTAAGGGTAGGTATTTGTGGTTAAAAACAATAGTGTAAATCAATACTGAAATTTACCTTTGTACTCCTGTGGGTCACCACATTAAATAAATAAATAAATAAGTAGCATTATTGAGAGATGTAATTTTTTCTTTTAATTATTACTTAGTTAGCAAAGCTATCTCCACACCAGTATAACTTAAAGAAGAAAACCATGCAAGACTGCCACAGGAATTGGAGAGGAGTAGTTGGCTTGAATAATGAATTATGAAGTCCATCCCTAATTCTTGCAAGGCTAGGAGCAAGAGTACACATCAAGGCCACTGTGGCCCATGCATCCAAGTCCTTGGTTTTTGGGTTTCTTGGCCTTAGGGAGTGACTTGACTAGCATACAGCCAAAGGATGTCAGTGGCACTGCAGTTGTCTACCACTAGGGGCGGTTCTGAGGCTCTTACTAAAGGCCAATTCTAAGCTTGGTATGTCTGGGGTGGGGCAATCTTTATTTTCTTTATGTAAATGAGAATCAATTATGTTTCTGAGTCATAGATTTTTCATCACTATAGACCTGCAAGGCTGGAATTTAAATGCTAGGAAATGTTGAGGAGGAAAAAGAAGTGACACTTTAGAATTATTAGTATCAGGCATTGACTTCATTGTGCTGAGACAGGCTTGCAAAGTTTGGGAAGTCAGTTGTTTTCTTTTTTCCTTAGTGCTTCCTACCACATCATTGCTAAGTATAAATAATGCTTTTGGGGAAAAGTTGTATGTGCACACACATGTGTGCGTATGTGTGTGTGTTCTAACAATCATCCCTTGGATTTTCAAAAGAATAAACAAGGATGACTGTAGTTTGCACTAATCCAAGGGGCAGAATCCCTCTGTTCACACCGGTCTTCTTTGATGAATGGGACCTTAAGGCATTTTTCTGTAATTCAGGTTTCAAGAATAGGGGATTAGGGTAGAGACAAATCTTGAGGTAAGATCGACCTCTCACCATGCAGATTTTTTAAAATGGAACCTTCTTGGAGAAGAGATATATTCTAAAAGGAACATCCAGTTTAAGCTTTTAGGTCTTAAATTATGAAAAAGAAATATAAATTTATTACATTTTATGTTTCTCCACTATACGTTTTAATTTTCATCAAAATGTCAATAACATCTGCTACCACAGAAAGGCCTTCAGTAAATGAGTTTGTATTTATGTCTACACATATGAAAGGAAGTAATGGGACTCACTTCCCATTTTGTTTGGCTGATGTAGTACGTACGGTATCCCTGCAACACCACAATAATGCACACAGAGACGGAATTCAGCAAATTTAGGGAATCAGAGTCGGAGGAGACTTCCCTTTCCTCCTCTTCCAGGATCCCCCAAAATGCTGGCAGGGCATGGGGCTCCAGGGCACATGGAATGGCATTCAAGTCAATGCCCCCTGACTCAACATACCCATAATTATTTTGTTCAATAGATTTTTAAAGAATTTAATGTCCTCTGTTATGTTTCTTGTGTTAAAACTAATTTTCATAGTTTTCACATTAGTTCATTTTCATGTTGGCTAGTTTAGAGGAAGAAATATTTTCATATTCTTTGAAAATACAACACAACATGAGACTTGTCTGTAATTGTGTGTCAGGATTGTTTCATTTAATTTTTATTTTCAATTCTGGCTTTAATTGTGGCTTGCAAGTCAATGGCTTTACTTAGATAGGAGCTACAGGTTGTTCTAAAGGAAGTGACAAGTCATTTGGTGATCCTTCAAGATGTGATTCCATGTCTTTGGTCTTGTGAAATCCTGGAGTCACCAAAATGTTGGAGGTCACTTATCTGTGAGTCAGGTAGAATTTACTTGAACCCTATTTCATGTGTTTTCTTTTTGTTAAAGTGTAATCCATACTGAAGGCTATATATAGTCTTTGATCTTCATCAGTAAGTGCTTCAAGTTTTCTTCACTTACAGCAAGTAAGGCTGTATCATCCGCATATCGCACGTTGTTAATGAGTCTTCCTCCAATCTTGGTGCCACATTCTTCTTCATATAGTCCAGCTTCTTGGATTATGTGCTCAGCATATATTGAATAAACACAGTGAAAGTATACAACCTTGATACACACCTTTCCTCTTTTGAAGCGATGTAGCATCCCCTTGTTCTGTTCAACAGGATCCTCATAAGCACAATCAAGTGTTCAGGAATTCCCATTCTTCACAATGTTATTCATAACTTGCTACAATCCACACAGTTGAATGTCTTTGCATAGCAATAAAACACAGGTGAACATCTTTCTGGTATTCTTTGCTTTCAGCCACGAACCATCTGACATCACCAATGACATCACCCTCACTCCACATTCTCTTCTGAAACCAACTTGAATTTCTAATAGTTCCCTGTTGATGTACTGCTACACATTTTTTAATGATTTTCAACAAAATTTTACTTATGTGTGATATCACTGACACTGTTTGATAATTTCCACATTCCACTTGATCATCTTTCTTTGGAATGGGTATAAATATGTATCTCTCTCAGTTGGTGGGCCAGGTAACTGTATTCCAAATTTCTTGGCATAAATGAGTGAGGCTTCCAGCATTGTTTCTGTTTGTTGAAATATCTTTGTGGGTATTCTATCACTTCCTGGAGTCTTGTTTTTTGCCAATTCCTTCAGTGAAGCTGGGACTTCTTCCTTCAAATATATTGGTTCTTGATCATATACTACTTCCTGAAATGGTTGAACATTGACCAATTATTTTTGGTTCAGTGACTCTGTGTATACCTTCCATCTTCTTTTGATGCTTTCTGCATCATTCAATATTTTGGCCATAGAATCCTATAATACTGCCAAATGTGTTTTTCCCTTTTGTTTTTGTAACTCCAGGTGTTTGCACATTTCATTATAATACTTTACTTTGTCTTCCTGAACCACCTTTTTTCATATCTTTTACCTTATCATTTCTTCTATTAGCTTTACCTACTCTCCATTCTAGAGCAAATCTCAGAGTCTTTTCATCTGTTTTGGTATTTTCTTGTTCCCTATATTCTTAACAAAAGAGCGCTGGTGGCGCAGTGCTTAAGGCATTTGACTGCTAACCAGAAGGTTGGCGGTTCAAACCCACCAGCCACTCTGTGAAAGGAAGACTAGGCAATCTACTTCCATAAAGATTTACCACCTCGGAAACCCAAAGGGGGCTGCCATGAGTCAGAATCGATTTGATGCCAGTGTGCTTTTTTTGTTTCTTTATTTTAAATATTCTTAACAACCTTCTCACTTCTTTATGTATGATGTTCTTGATATCATCCCACAACTCATTTGGTTACCAGTCATCGGTATTCAATGGGTCAAATCTATTCAGAGGGTCTGTAAATTAGGTGGACGATACTCAAGGTCATATTTTAGCTCTCATGAAGATGTTTTAATTTTCTCCAATTTCAACTTAAACTTGTATATGAGCAGTTGATGGTGTGTTCCACAGTCAGCCCCCACCTTGTTCTGAGTGATGATACTGAGCTATACCATCATCTCCTTTCACAGATGTAGTCAATAATTATCAGTGCATCTTGATTGCTGCATGTTTGGTCATTTTCAGACATTGGTAAAAATCTTCAATTTCTTCATCTTTGGCTTCAGTGGTTGGTGCATATATTTGAGTAACAGTAGTGTAAACTGGTCTTTCTTGTAGGTGTGTGGTTATTATCCTATTACTGACAACATTATATGTCAGGATAGATCTGGAAATGTTCTTCTTAACAATGAAATGACTCTATTCCTCTTCAATTTGTCACTCCTAGCATAGCAGACCACATGACTGTCTGATTCCAAATGGCCAGTACCAGTCCATTTCAGCTGCCTAATGCCGAGGATATTGATCTTTATGTGTTCCATTTCATTTTTGACAACTTCCATTTTCCAGATTAATATTTACTATTTCCATGTTCCGATGAAAAAATGGACTGCATTTTCATTCTGAGCTGTGCCACATCAGCAAATGAAGGTCCAAAAGCTTTACTCCATCCACATCATTAACAATTCCTCTACTTTGGGAAGGCAACTCTTTCCAGTAGTATTTTAAGTGCCTTCCAACCTGGGAGACTCAACTTCCACCACTATTATCAGAAAAGGTTTCCACTACTGCTCAGAAGGCATTAAGTGGTCAATTTTTTCACAACTGGATTGCCTCTTCCTTCTTCCTAGTCTGTCTTAGTCTGGAAGCTCCACTGAAACTTGCTCACCTAGGTGATGCTGTTGGTATTTGAAATACTGGCCACATAGCTTTCAGCATCACCAAAACATACAAGCCACCACATTATAGCAAACTGACAGATGAGTGGTGAAATTACAGATACTGGTATGTATTTATTAAATTCTCATATGATGAAAGTGTTGTAAGACAATATATACGCTTTGAATAACTTATACAAGTGAATAAAAAATTTGTAAAACAAGAAAGATTCAAAAAATCTTGGTGGTCTGGACAAGCTGAAAGGATAGAGGAACACTGTCAGAAAGGATAAATTCTGGGAAGTTTTTCATGCAGCAGTTATAATCCTCCAAAAACAGCCAAGGTAGAAAATGGAAGACGATTCTAAAGATGCATCTCTCTGTACACATGGAAAACTAGTCAGATGGCAATAGAGAAAAAAAAAATTACATCAACGTCCTCATAAAATTTAAATGATATAGAAAGCAAGTGGCCAGGGGGAAAGGAAAGGAGGGGGAGGAGGAGCGGGCGGCAGTAGCGGTGAGTTTGGTGGGGGGCCACTCACAGCCCCAGGTGCTGCTGGCGGTGTCTCCTGGATGCAGCAGGGTTTGTGGTTCCCAGTCACCGCAGCCTAACTCTAGGGTGGGGGAGGGAAGAAAGAAGCCGAAGCTGCCGCAAGCCTCACTTGAAAGAAAAGCACAAGAAGTAAAGAAACTTAGTCATTGTTGATTTGATATTAAAAAAAAAAAAAGCAAGTGGCCAAAGTTATGGGAAGCCCAACTGTGGTTGCATGTAAATCACCTCTGAGGAATTCACTGTTTTACTGTTATCTCTTTTACTCTGTTCTCTGGTTAACTCATGTTATTCTTACCACACACAACCATGCTTGTGCACACATAAGCACATCTGATATATTTAAATAACTTAAGCTGAAGCTTATAGACCTGAAATGAGTCATCATGCAAAAAAGGTATTTGTCTGAAGGAATGCCTATTGCAAATTTTTTTATAAGAAAGATAATATGAAAGGAAACAGTTTAATTACTTAGGGAAACATGTTGGCATTTAATGGTTCATTTCATACTCTGGCTGTAAAGAAAAAAAATATTTGTATTTTGGGAAAGTTCAAAAGTTATTTTCTATGATTGTCACCTTTTTTTAATGACTTCTTATCTCTCAGAGCACTGAAGTACCGGATTGTCAGGAAAATTACAACCTGCAGAGTTGCCATATGACAGTGGACACTAACATAGGCCAAGTAGATTCACGAGCCAAATACTACACACCACAGTTCCTTACTGCTTCCTCTCAGTACCCACAGGAAGAAGCCTATAAGATTTGAAGGAGGGAGTAAACACAAGATGATGTCTGCAATTCTAATTCAAAAAACATTATTGCATCAGCACACATTATTCCCATCTTCTACTGAAAAACAAATGTGGTTTAGTCCCTTTATGGGAAATCCACAGAAACAACAGGTATGTAAAAAGCCCTAGGAGTATACTGGGACCAAGGTGTTCCCCAAAACACGACTGTTTCAGATATAAGGCAAAGGTCTATGTCTATGGGAATCAACTGCAACTGGTTTGGGTTTTTTGCTTTGTTTTGGTATATATCTTTGGATGAATTCAAACAAGTCATTGGGTGTGGGTGGGTCTTAAAAATTTTATAGGATGAAAAATCATGTTGCTATGATCTAATTTTTTTCGAACTGACAGAATGGCTAATGACGTAAAAGCAGCCATGGGAAAGAACAAAGGAGGAAAGGAAGGAAAGAAGATGAAGGCCTAACAGTGTGAGAAACTTCACACTTATCTCTGACAGGACTGAAGACTTCATTCTAACCCTATTCATTACTCTGTCCCAATCTCTTTCAGGGGAGGTTACTGTCTAAGTCACAACTGCATCACCTAGCACAGTACCTGGTCCAAAGTCACATTCAAAAATATTATTAGTGATAAGAAAGAAGAGTTTTGATCAAAGCTTTCCATTTTCTTTCATGTTAGTGAAACCAACATTTTCCTCTGTTTGCTCTCTGTCTCACTGTCTCTCTCTCTTCCTCTCACTCTATTTCAACCTCTCCCATTTCTTCCTCTCTCTGATTCTTCCCCTTCCCCTCTCTCTCTATTTCTCCCTTAATTCAAGGTCTTATAATGATTTTCTTTTTTTTCTCCTCTGGGATTATTTATCATCAATGTAAGCACTAGAAAAAAAAAACAAAAAAGTAGGGTTCTTTCCTCTAGTTTTTTTTTTTTTTAATTTTTATTGTCATTTGGGTGAAAGTTTACAGAGCAAATTCATTCTCCATACAGCAGCTCACATACACTTTGTCTCATGACACTGATCTTAACTTCCCAAAGTGCAGCAAGCTCCCCTCACACCTCCTCCCCATGGTTACCTGTTCCCTGTGTCCTTCCCTCCATGTATTCCTGCCCCTGAGCTGTCTCTCTGTGCATACACAGCCCTTCTATTCTCCCAGGATTGATCTCCCCAAGGAGTGTAAATGTTCAGTTCATATGCCTGTCCTTCGTTAGGCTGGAAGCCACAGGAGTGGGTTCGATTCCAGACCAGAAGGGCAGCTAGGAGCCATAGTCTCAGGGGTTCCACCAGGCTCTATCAGACCAGCAAACCTCGTCCTTTTTTCCTCTGATTAGTTTTAAATATATATATTTTAATATAATCTCTGCTAATTATCTTCCTTACTAAAATTTAAGATTCATGGTACAGATGAAAACTGTTAGGAAATAATGCCCATAACACATTATAAAGGCTAACTCATAAAATAAAGTATACCTTCCAAAAGTGTATAATTTCAGGAGTTAAAAAATTCCTCCTTACCATCAGGACTCCAAAGTGGGTGAGGTGGTTACACAGGCAAACAGTCTCACTCTCATCTGCACCTTTATATGCAATACATCCTGAGGTGTTCCATCCTCCAAAACCTAATGCAGAAGGGAGTCGACAAACAATGTCAAGACTATAGCATGTCAGTTCCTTCTCTATGATGTGTAAGACTCCATTGGATTACTATGCCTCAGTCTCCTTTGCCTTATAGAAATTAGTAGAATTTCTTTTTAACACTACCAAATGCTTAGAATAATTTAGATTCACAGACTCATAGAATGTTAGTGCTGGATGGCCAGTTAAAAACTATCTACTCAGTGGTTTAAAATTGTGTTCTGCTAACATTTTACTCAGGTTTAATTTCTAACATATTTTAAAGTAAACTTCCATAAAAAGCAGATATCCTCGGCATTAGTGAGCTGAAATGGACTGGTTGTGGCCATTTTGAATCAGACAACCATATGATCTACGATGCTGGGAATGACAGCTTGAAAAGGAATGGCATGGCATTCATCATCACAAAGGATGTTTCAAGATCTGTCCTGAAGTACAATGCTGTCAGTGATAGGATAATATGCATACGCCTA